CTGGCAGCAACAGCCTCCAGCAGCAGTAGCAGCCTCCCCATGGCCCCCCGCCGGGGACATCCCAGGGGTGGGGACATCGTGGATCAGAGCCACTCATCCTTTATACTTAAGTCCATAACCCAGGACACCTGGGTGCACATGCACAATTACATTAGACAATAACCAAGGAACACCTGGGCACACGTGCATATTTATATCAAATGCTCGGCAAGATTCTGAACATCTGAGGGTATCTGACCATTTTCCTTCACTTTCCCTACAGTTAGGAAATGTCTAACTTAGTTCCTAGTTACGACATTAGCATTTTATCTTATAGTCAATACCATCCAAGCACCGTATATACATTATGGTATTTGTTAAGCACCTACTAGCCATCAAATACTATAACAAGAGCTAGAGGTACCGAATTAGGACAGTCCTTGCTCCATAGGTATTCAAAATTAAATGAGAATCTAAGCATATAAATACATAGCTATAATAAAACATGGCAAATACTCTCATTACTAGACATATAAACAAAGTACCATGTAGACTCAGAGAAGATAAATGAAATGAAACAGATAGCATTAGGCTGAAAACACCAATAATGATGTCTTTTAATAAGAAACACCTTGGGTAAACCAGTCCTTACTGGAATAGAAGCTGCAGACAGCAGGAATTAATAAATTCTACCTACACTCTTCAGTGGTGATCGATTACCATCTTAATGACAGACTTTAGGTTCACTTTTTAAACCACATAATCTACTGGGATTCAAGTTCTCCTTGAGTAAGGAGCCAATATGGGTAATAATCCTGGTTGCTGCTATTTCACTCTTAAGAGAAACTGCATTCAAGCCAGAAATACCTGTGCTCAACCCACTCATCAGACACTTGTCCTAGTGAGTGGGTAGGAAACAAGGGTCTTCTTCCGGGCTTGCCTCTGTGGCCAGAGGGAACAATGTCCTGGCTATCTAATCCAGAGCATCAGGTGGCTCCATAGTAAAACTGAATCATATTTTCAAGGGAAAGTGAGTGCATAAAACCCACCTGTAAGTCTTTATAGTTAATCTTCTAGAGAAAGAGGAGGGACTGCGGAAATAAGGGAAGGATAATGTTTTGATAATAAACGAAATAACAAAGGTACAGAGTGGAAGAGATGCATTGCATTTGTTATTACATAAAGATAAGCACATAAATCATGTCTCAAATGGAAAGCAAACCAGGTAAGTTTTCAAGCTTCCTTTTCTGGAACACAATTTACTGCTGGACATAACTGAAAAGGCAACCATTTGTGGGAAGCCCTGGATAGCTTTTTCTCTGTAAGAATAAGAAAAATTCTTATTCTCTACAGGCAGGTTTACAAATCCGCTGGCCTACTAAAGGGGTTTAAACAGTAAACATTGTAGCTCAAACAGCAATTTCCCCAGGACCCAAGAGAGCTTAATCTGGGTAACAGCCCACTGATAGCCTAGCTTTGTGTATTCTAACATCTTTTGGAATAATACCAGACCCACCCAGGGAGGGTATTTATAGTGTAGAAGTGAAGGGAGCGACGGTGGGCAGGAGGACAAGTGTGTGAGTCATGCTTTATTCTGTTCTCTCAAGGCTGTGACCGAGCCTTTCCCTCCGACTAAGCACAAGAGACCTTGCAGCTGACCGGACCCAAATGCGGAACCAGGAGCTTAGGAGGTGGCTGTGCTGATTAATCAAGGCAGCTTAACAATAGCATTCATTCCAGAGTGGCAGGCAAAAGGACAACAGAGGGTGCGTTGGTCCCTGTTGTGTCGCTATAACAGAATACTGAGACTGGGTAGTTTACAAAGAACAGAGGTTTAGTTGGCTTATGATTCTGAAGCAAGCGGGGGGAGGAAGGGAGGGGGGAGG